TGTAAATTTTCACTCCACAGCTTAGAAAACACTGCTTTTTGTAGCGATGGATATGACTCAGAAATAAACCGTATATTGATCTAGCAAAGGATATTAGCAAAGTATTATATAATCATCAATGCATCTTTGGACCTTTAATTAGGAAAGAGAGGAACTTACACAAGAAATAACTTAAAAGTCACCACTATAAACAGTGTTCCAAGGCAAACATAAAAACCAGATTGTGAGGAATGCTGCAGATTCACCTTTTCCACAMTTTAGGCTCCACCCTATTTATATACTTGTGTAAAATCCCAATTTCCACACCACGGAAGACAGGCTCATGCTGCTGCCAATGAACTTTCAAGGAGACTCTGTAAGACCAAGGGCAGAAAATTGGCACCGCAGCTGCTGCAGCAGATCAGCAGCACTGCACGCCTAATGCTATGGGCACAACAGGACAGTTCCCCATCTTTCCCCAGATTAAAAGCAACTTTGCATGCCTCTGATGTTTTGGGACAGTTTCAATTTCTTTTTAGCCCTTCAGAAAACACAAAAGGGGTATTTGGTTGGGTAGTTTTTGTTAAATATATTTTGTTAAAAATACATAAAAAGCATCAGTAATGTGACGTGAAGTGCCTGTGTCCACAGCGGGGAGCAGGAGGGGATATAACACCCTTCTTCAGAAAAGGGCCAAGCCCTGCCAGGCTGGCGGGCAGCCAGCTATTCCTTAGCCATCAAAACTGTGCCACCCATTTCCATGGTGCTCTACAAAGGATTAGAGAGATCTGCTCCAGTCGATAGCAATGAGGCAACCCAGGGCAAAATCAYGCTCCAAATTTAGGAAAAATGCCCTTTGTATCAATGCACAACAGGGCTTTCACCCTTGAACTGCTAACAATCCAGACAGACTCACGTTCAAATATTCAGAAGCCCCAGGTTATACTCTAAGATGGTTGTACTGCAGCGGGCATTGTGCAAAATATAAATGCTTACTTTTAGTTTGCTTCCACATTGAGTTTTAGAACACCTTACAAAAGCCTAAAGGGCAAATTTCCAAAGGGGCTCAGGGAAAAAGTCTTCAGACGTAGGAAGTTACTTGGCAGATGAGGAGATGATGGTTCAGAGCAGGTTTATCGTAGCAAATTGCAATTATAAATATTTGAGAGAGSAACCAAATGGGCTACAAACGGTCAGCACAGAAACAGACTCTGAAGCTGTAAGGGCTGTTCCTTGCTGTTCTCATCCAGTTATGTACAAATGAGTTCTAGATAAGGAGAAAAATTATTAGTATGAATAGGTAACAAGCTATGCTGCCTCTGAAAACAGAGGTGGATAGATAAATTATATATATTTTCCCCAAGGGAAATACTGATTCAGTCTCCATAGACATTGCTGTAATTATTGATACATGCAAAAATATTTTTGCAGTGGATCAGATTTATGTCCCTTGGAAAATGGGATAGTGCAGCATAATTCGGAGATCTGGTTTTGTTTATTACCCTAGATGTCATTACGTTTTAACTAATATTTCATGGTAAGGCAGGAGGGCACTGGGCCAGGAGATGCATCTTATTTATCTTACAAGCTGTGTGCATCTCCTTAATCCTTTCAGTTGGAGCTTGCAGATAGTGAGCTCTAAACTCACACAGGGGTTTTAAGGCTCAGACTCCCCTGGCGCACRTTACCCAGGCTGGTCGTGGTCTCAGCAATGCTGGAATCATGAACAGAATCACACACAGTCCCAGAACAGCTGAGGCTGGATGGGACCTGTGGAGTTCACCTAGCCAACCCCACTGCTCAAGCAGGGACACCCAGAGCAGGTTGCCCAGGATTGTGTCTGGGTGACTTTTGGATATCTCCAAACACTGTCCACAACATCTCTGGACGTGTTCCAGGGCTCCGCCACCTTCACACTAAAGAAGTTTTTCCTCAAACTCAAATAGAGCTTTTTTGTTTCACTTTGTGCCCGTTGCCTCTTAACTTGTCACTGAACATCACTGAAATGCAAGAACTCAGCAGATCAACTAACTAATGACCCTTCCAAAATGAGAGTTAAGGGGCATCAAAACAAAGGAGCAGGAACTCAGCCCAAAACAAATGAAAATGATGTGAGCCCTTACAATGGAAAGTGAGGAAAGGGAAGCTGGAACTGCTTATTAACTGCTGCTACAGAGCTTGGGAACAGCCACTTCACTGCTTTGACATGGTTTATGAATTTAGAAAAATCACTTAATATTTCAGCCATCAGGCTCAGTATATATCTTTTTATACACAAATTAGTGGCTCCTCTGCTACTCCCCCCACAGGTAACATCAATAGCAGGTAGTTGTTTTATTATCTTTATATCACACCTTGTGGAGTTTCAGCCAGACACAAGCTCCATAAATCCCAATAAATTCTAGCATTGTTGCAAAGTCTGCAGGATGAATCAGGTATAAAGAATCAGCGGAGCTCACATGAGCTCAGCTCTAATTGCTCTCCCAGGAGAGCCGATAACATCTTGAGTACTGATGGCCACCGCAACAGATATAAAATACGTCAAGAATTTTGCTAAAAATCCATCCCCTGAAGTATTTTGTGGCCAGGTTTCTGCAAGACCTGATCACCTCCTCATGTTCAGTCAATATTATATTTGCTTAGCATTACACCATGATATTTTGGCTGCAAAAATACCCTCAGGAGGTGAAGGAATTCGGGGACAAACTGGACTCAAAGGTCTAAGAAAAGCTCAGAACTCTGCTTTAGTTACTGGCAGGACTGAGAAAGGGTTTGTTTTGGTAGCTATCGATTGCTGGAACTTCCCAAACGTGTTTGCTTTGATAGGCAAGGGAAAAGATATCTAAGCCCCCCGTGGCACAGAAACTGCTTATTGATTCTTTATGCAAAACAGCTTTCACAGATCAGAGTGTTTGGCCTAAAATTGCACTGTCAGCATCTGATCCTCAGGACTCCCAGGACRGCACCTTAGACTACTCCCCTCTGGATCATCCCTAGCCATCCTTCATTAGGAAACTGAAAGTAAAGGAGCTGGCATCTGATGACAAGCTGATGAAATCAATGAACATACTCTCATTAACTCCTAAAGCACCGGRTTTTTACACTCATTTTCCAGATGTTCATGACAAATAAGCAGGAAGAAAGAGAGGCTTGGAAGTTTCCAACAGATCTCRTATACGAGTTGCCTAAATACGAGACAGAATGAAATATCCCCGCTGTGAGATAAGCTGGCTGTGCTATTCCTAGGGCCCAGGTGGGCTCTGTCCTCCTGCAGGGCTGCATGGAAGAACCCCCTGACTCTGGGACGAGCAGGGCTGGCTTCTGCTGCATGCCTGAAGCAAACATATCCTTCTTCCCTCTCTCATCAGAAAAAAAAAATGAAGCACAGAAATGCACTCCATGAGTCAGAGACAGAAATCATGACAGTCTCACTCCTTTGTTTGCTGTAGGAAAAATAAAGGAGACTGTGGTTTGAATCTTGCAGTGTTCCTAAAATGTCTTTTGTAAGTATATGGSAAAGAAGATATACCAATGGAGAACTCGCTGCCTTTTCCACCTGCACCCACCTGTGCACATCTGGGAGATCAAACACCCAGCAACACTCCTGAAAAGCTTGAACTGAAAAATGCTATTCTGAAAAAATGAAATATGCCTTTGGGAAGCTGCATGTGCAGCTTGCTTTCTCCAAATACACAGCTTTGCATAAGGATTAGTGAGGAAAAGGAAAGAAACCCTCCCAAATCAGTCTTTACAAGGAAGTTATACCTTGGAAATTCATACTCAATTGAAAAGAGAATTTAKATCTTAATGGTTAAAATTCCTAACAAATAAAATTGCTTATTTTTGTATTTTCAAAAAAAAAAAAGAAGAATTGTGAAAGCAACAAGATAATCTAAGAGCAACATCACCCTCAAAAGTTTTTACTGCAGAATTGGTCATGAACATATAAAAGTAAATGAAATAGCAAGTGTACTAGAAATTCAGTCCGGTTAAACAAAACAAAACACATCTTCACAAAAATAATGAATAATGCATAGGATACATCACTAGAGGGATCACAGGCAGGTAGAGTCSAGAACAACTCAGAAAAAGTGAACGCTGGAAAAAGGCGACTGCTGATGGCAGCGATCCTGCCAAGCCAAGTCAGCAGCTCGGCGAGGCCGCRACGCCAACTGCAGCCGTAACCTCGTCCTTCCCGTGCAGCTCTAGCAGGGCGAGGCTTCGCTCCCTTTTGAGATGTTTGCTTTTTAAGAGACAAGTTACGATTGCAACGGCRTGCATTGAAGAAAGGGGAAAAATCCCCAAAGGGTGCCACAGAGCTGGAGCTCTCGGGGYGAGGGATGAGCCAGAACCCCCAGGGCTGGGATCTGTCATGATTTCACCTTCGGAGGCAGCCGCAGGGAGCCACCGACTGCAGCCCAGGACAACTGCAGAGCTGCACGATACAAACACTGCTCGAATAAAAACATTTGGTCTCCTGAGARCATCAGTAATTCAATCACAAGGGACACTCAAGAACAGTATCGYTTAACCCCTGCACTGCATCATGAACACCAGCAGCAGGTTTAATTAGTAGCAGATATATGTATTTTCATGCTGTACTTAATAACCATTGCTTGYGAAATTTGGCTGAGAATGGATAATACTGCATCAGGAACAGTTTTCCAGCCTCATTTGAGATCCAGGCTATCAGGAAAGATGCATTCAGCAGCCTTTACTTTGTTGCGGACTTTACCAAAACCCCTTGCAAGAACCAAGGGTCTGCAGTTACTCCAGAGTAACACACAGCTGCTCAGCTCCCCTGCCACCAGCTCAGGTTCTGCCCGAGTTCCTGTGGTTGCACATTTCATGCACCTATTACCTTGTATAGGTTATTTAAAAAGAACTGCCCTATGATCACACCTGCTAGCTAGAACTTGTTTATTTCTGATATTTGGTGACACAAATAGACATGTTTCCTCTAATGTTTTTGGATGTCGTTTCACAGACTGTTATTTAATTCTCTTTTTGTTTCGTGTCAGGGCGAGTGTTCCCAGAAGTGCTATTACATCTTCGTCATAGAGACCATCTGCGTGGCGTGGTTCTCCCTGGAATTCTGCCTCCGATTCATTCAGGCAAGGAGCAAGTGTCAGTTCTTCAAAGGGCCCCTGAACATCATTGACTTCTTGGCTATTTCGCCCTATTACGTCTCCCTCATCCTGACAGACGATGACTCAAGCAAGGAGGTGGAGAGGTCAAGCAGCAATACGTACTTGGAGAAGGTGGGTTTGGTGCTACGGGTTCTACGTGCCTTGAGGATCTTGTATGTGATGCGCCTTGCCCGGCACTCCTTGGGCTTGCAGACGTTGGGCCTCACAGTCCGGAGGTGCACGCGGGAATTCGGGCTGCTTTTGCTCTTCTTGTGCGTGGCCGTCACCTTGTTTTCTCCCTTGGTCTATCTTGCTGAGAATGAATCTGGGAAGGTGCTTGAATTCACAAGCATCCCTGCCTCGTACTGGTGGGCTATCATTTCCATGACCACGGTGGGCTATGGAGACATGGTACCGCGGAGCGTTCCGGGGCAGATGGTGGCTCTGAGCAGCATCCTCAGCGGGATTCTCATCATGTCGTTTCCCGCCACATCCATATTCCACACCTTCTCCCATTCCTACTCCGAGCTGAGAAAGGAGCACGAACGATTGCAGTCTCGGATGAACAGAACAAAAAATGCCAACCAAACTGGAGAAAGTGACACCTTCAATGAGACCGACAGTCTGACCCTGGAGGAGCCAGTATCTCCCATCAAATACATCTACACGGGGAACTAAACCTTGCTGGAAACCCTTCCCGGGAATAGGAAAATACACATGTCTGTCAGTGTAACAAAACAAAGCAACACTGTATGTTATGATGCAATTTTTCCTCCTCATATACATAGGTATAAGAAGGGCAGTCAAGCCAACCCAGGTGGCTCCAACACATTGTTATGCAGTTGGAGATTGAGAATATCAAAAGCCAGAGTTTATTCAACAGCAAATACTCATTCTTCGCTATGACTAATGTTACTACTCAACTCTCTCTCTGCCAGTCATGTATCTTGCTGAATACCCAATACGGAATGAGTAACAACCAACATAGCTTCTGATGGCACAAATACACTTGTTATTTTATTTGCCTTGGGGCTTTCAATGCTCTTTGCAATTAACACCTTGAGTCAAGCATTAGAGTGGGTTCCTTCAGGCCTATGCACCAGTGTGTTTTTTACAATGCTCATAACCAGGCATACAGAAAGCTCTTCAGTACAAATATGCATCCTATATCTAAAGCCACTAAAAAGCTTAAAATATAAGCACTATGTGTGAAAGCTTTCAGAGTTTGCCTGCCGTCAGATGGCCGGTCTATAAATAACAAATTGCACTGCTGTTGTAAATTACTACATAGTGCTTGCAAGAGAATTTGCTTGAAAGGCAGTTGCAGTCTGCCCACTGTAAACATTTCATACTAGATAGAAAAAGTTTTAAAATTTGTTTTTCATATACTTGTTCAAATAATAAAGAATAAAAACCAAAAACTTCGTGAATATATAAAAGAGTTGGTGTTATTTTGTCTACTGAATTGTGATGGCTTCTCTGGAAGAAAGTTTTTAAAAAATAAAGTTTTTGAAATTGGTTTGGTGATTCCTAAGTATCCAAAGGTATAAACAGTAACTGCAAACAATTTCCAGAGAAACAGTGGGACCAACTTCCTTAGCAGAGTGAAAGACACCCGCTTTGCAACATCTTCATCTAGCCGGAAGAAAAAAATACAGGCAAAKATAGCAATACTGCTCCATGGGATAGTCTAGATGCTCGCTTTGAATTCTACCTTATTGCTGCTGTGAATGAAGTTAGTGCAAATCAGTGGATATGAAGACACAAAGYGCAAACCTCTGCAAACATCTGTGGGTTTAGAGGCTGTGTCAGCTCAGGAAGTCTGACGGCGCCGACACCCCTCGGCTTTGCGCGAGCCCAGAGTTACACAACCGCGCGCGGGCCGCCGGGAGCTGCGGCGCGTGGGCGCTATCCTCACCGCACCTCGGCGCTTAAGGAGGGAAAAGCACAGTTGGCGGCACCGCTTGGAGCACGTGACTCGAATTCATCTCTTGGAATTATCTTGCCATTGACCCTATGACCGAAAGCAGAAACTGCAGCAGTTTAGAGGGGATGTTCCAAAACAATTGGAGCAAGTGCACACAAGACGACGGGCATTTATAGCTATACCACAGAAAGAAATTTCTGCCCGGCTTTATCCGCTGATCCATCTGGTCGGCATCTGATCTTTTTCTTTGTTTGCTTTTTCTTTATTTTTTTCCCCGCTCCAATTAGCTTTTTTTTTTTTTTTTTAAAGCAGCAATTCTCTACAGCAGGATTACTCAGACAGTAAAGCAGAAAAAAAATATCTTATCCTGATCAGAACTATTAGTGAATTTTGCCCAGCCTCTCTGGACTCTTATGCAAGCGATCAGAAATTCTTTGGAAAATTCTCAATGCTTCTCTGAAAAGCCCTGTATTTTTTTGCTGCTTCTCCAGTTTCTCAGGAATAACCTCTCCGGCTGGCAGAGCTGCTTGATCTGAACTGAGCAATCCCTGCTGGAGTTAAGTACCCTGTGCAGAACAGCTGCATCCTTGAAAGACTTCTCACCCCTGAAGCACTGACACTCTTTGAAAACGCACACAATTAAATAGTATAATTGATTTGCCTTTTTTTTTTTAATTAACAGTTTTCTTGCTAGTTCAGGGATTAGTTCAACATGGTCGCACACAAAATCAGCCCATCCACACTGCTCTAAAAATGTAAATAGCTGGAAAGATGGAGAGCTTTTGTGCCTGAGCACTTAGCTTAATGCCCAAGAGGTGGCTGATGCAGATGGGGTTGTGGGCTTAACATGCACCCAAGCCTGGGCAAAGCCTTCCAGGGCAAGAAGGTGCTGCAGTACTGAAGCAAAACAACCCCAAAAGTTTGCAGTGTTTAACAGTGAAGTGTTTCTGCCCGAATCAGGACCATAACATATATTCCCATTTCTAACTGAATCTCTTCCTATAGCAGGGTTGGGGCTGCACCAGCTTTCATAGAAGTCATCCTTCATGATTCATTCTGTTGTTAAAAAATGGGAAAAATATGTTGAGAAGAACATTTAGTTCCCATGCAACTCAGCTGATAACAGATTCAGAACAAGCGGTTACAATTAGCTGATATTGCTGATGCCAAGTACATATCATTTCAGAACCAGACTTAATTAAAAGAGCAGTTGAGGTGCCTGGCATGCAGCCTTCCTTACTTGAAAGCCTTTTTTTCCCCAAATCTAAAACCTAGAAGGAGCAAGGGAAGAACATACCTCATCCTAACAGGACCCACATTGCTCAGCTCTTGCTGATGCATTTTGGCCTTTTTGAGGCCCGTGACTGGTACCCTGATACAGCAACATCCCTATCACATTGGGAAGGGCCCCACAAAACACCCCACTCTGCTGCTTTTTTGGGKAGACAACCTGCTCTGCAACCCAGCTCAGGGGAGCAGAGAGTGACACAGTCCAATGAAAACAATATTCAGCACCCCAGCAATTACTGACCTGCCTGGGAGCCAAGACACATGGAAAGGGTTTTGACCCTGGACTGAGTGGAACACCTTCATGAGGCTCCAAGTGCTGTGGGGTCAGGGCCCTTGTTTTGACCTAGCTCTGATTCCTGAAGGGAGCCTGCAGATTGTTTCCAATGCACGCCGCAGTTCCAACACCTCCCAGTTATTTTCCATCTGTTCCCTTTTCTTTAACTTTCACCAGATCCTGAGGTAGCAAAACATTACATGAGAGGCACGTTATTATTTTACTAATGAACTCTCATGTTTTCATAGGCTCAGTAATTTATCACTTCAACTCGCTTTGAGATCTCCTAAAACCTGCTGGACATTTTCAGCTCACTGCAGCCACCCGAAGTTTGCATTCTATCACTAGAGTTTAAATAGCAAATCTAATATCTTTATATACATAAAGTCATATACACTTATTGAGGGGAAATAGGACACTATTTTTGTGCATTTTTCTTCTATCTACTCCTAAACGTACCGCATGACTTACGCATAAATTGGCTGAACTTGTGTTCATCAATACTGTTATTTCAAATATATCCGAACAGTAAAGCTAATTCATTTGCTCTTGTTCATTAGGAACAATTAAGCATATCTACAGATAAAAAAATTATACTCTGCATGTCTTCTCTAATTATATTCCTAATGAAAGAATTTTCCCTTTTTTTGTTCAGGAAATTTTTATGCATGGCAGTAACCTATGAATAATGAAGAAAATCTAGAAGGTCAAGGAAATTAACAGTACTGGAGACTCTCTGAAAGAGCTGTAAAAAGTTTTCAGCTTCAAAAGTAATGAAATGTCAGCCACATGTTCAAATAAAAACCGAYACAGGGCTGATAGAGCACTCAAGTTTCCTAAAGAGAGTCTGGGTTCCTTGTGACTAAAGGCAACATAAATATTGTAACACATCTTATTGGAAGGGGTAAATCCCTCCACGTGAGCCCTTTGGCTCGCGTAGCAGTGACTTGCTAGAGTTAGAAGGGGCTTCACCACTTCCCTAGGCACTATTTTTCTCTAAAGAAGTCTTAGAAGTGCTTCCCTTGCTGCCCTGTACTCTTATTTTTACTATTTTACTGCCAAGGGAATCTGTGCCCTCCCCAAAGCATCATGTTCCCTCCTGTGTCATTATCCGATCACTGCACAAAGCTCACGTGCAGCTGCACACTGTCTGTCCCAAAACTCCTTCATCACAAGACAGACTCATGTCCCAAATAGCACCACGGATCCAAGAAGGGACTCAAAAAACCACAGGTTTGGATCATGAGCAGGAAGGCTTAAGGAGATGAGATGTATCTAAGCAGAACATTAATGCAGATTCAGCAAGAGCCAAGGGGACAAATCCAGCTTGGATTTCATTATTTCCCTACTTGATTCTTGTTATAACTACAGCAGCTCTAAAAAAAGAAACACAAAGCTAACAGATCAGGACGGTAAAAACCCTTTGGCTATTTTTTTTTTTTTCCCTGAGAGTTATAGTCTGTTATATCATCAGTAATAAGTACCATGACTAGGTAATAAAATATAATCATCCCAAAACACAACACTTGAAATTTTAAATCTKAAATGAAAAGGTCTATTGCTTCATAAATGGCAATTTATTTTAAAAAAACCTTTAGGTTTCATGTATTAGCACAGAACTCCATACACACAGATAACAAAGTCATAATATCTTCTAAAAGTCTTCTACTTGCCAGCTCTAGTGTTCAGCCAAATMTTAGTCAGACAGATGCTAAGTATCAGCCAAAGGTTTTCACCCGACTTCTGCTGAATCATTTCTTTTCATCAGCTTTCAGAAAAGCCTGACTACTATCAATAAAAAACAAATGGGGTGATAAACAATTTTCCTTCTACTTAAAGCAGATGAGCTAAAAATCTATATTGACCTTGCAGGACAGTGAATCACAGTGCTTTGGTGAGCACACCCTCATGCTTCGGATATTATCAAATAAACAGCAAGATCTTTGCCAACATTTCCTCCACATCCAGGTGGATGTTGTTGSCCACATGAACAAGAGTTGGGCCAAGCATCTCCCCAGCTGCAGGGAGCTTTGGGCTTTGCCTCGCCTGGATGCCATGTGAGGTATCGATCATTTGCTACGCAACAAGCCAACACGTGAAAGAATATTCCTATTATAATTCACAATCTTACAGCMGCAGTGTGACGAGGGCTAAAGACGCTCTCAGGAACAGAGAATGTCAATAGCGAAGAAAGGCTCTTCTGTCCTGGAATGACCAGGTCTTCTACTGTCTTATAACAGTCTTATACTGCCTCAAAAGACAATATACATTACAATTTTCTACTTATAATTTCACTTACAAACTCCTTTCTTGAAATAACTTCACAGAAGAACAAAGTCAATAACAATGACTAAAACTTYGTGCCTTGAGGATCTACTTCTCCTCCAAATTACAGCACTCTTCATTAGCCTGATGTGTTATTATAACCCAGAGATGCAGAAGGTTTCCAAATTGCTCTTAGGGCTGTTCCACCTTTGAGAGATTTTCATAAAAATCTTCTCAGCTCAAAGATAACCAAGGCCAGGAAATTCCCAAACTTCAGATAGAACAAATAGCTACGAGCTACTGGTGATTAAGGCAAAAACAAACAAAACAGACTTGGGCAATGCAATTACTATATTTTTAGAGGACATATTTAAGAAAGAGAGGGTGAAACCATACAGATGACTGTTCGAATCACAGGTAATGCTAAGAAATTAGAGAAAGCCAAACCAATGTGCCATGTAAGACTCAAAATCACCCCAAGCCCAGGTAACAGTGACAAAGTGACTCTTGTTTCAGCTCTGCTCATAAATGACTCCTGTCTCCCCTGTTACCACCACCAACTCCATCTAGCCATGCTAACCAGCAAGGTTAAAGGCAACACTGCTCACGTGAAATCTTTCTC